GCGTTTTCCAAATGTAATTAATATTTAAAGTGGTAAAATTTACCACTTTAAATATGTCAAAAAAATTGACATTTTTTTTAAATAAATCATTTATTATTTAAATAACAATATAATATACAAATATATATACTGAGTCAATATGTCGTAAAGCCATGTTTGTGTCTCAGTTCTACACATAATAATGTCGTTTCATAAGAGTTTGCCAAACTTAATTTCAAACACAAACTTATAAAGATTTTACAAAATGTAATTTAATGGTATACATCAATGACATGCCATCATATGAACAAATTTTCTGCTTGATAATTTTAGAAAATGCTGTTAGTGACGCTAAACAACGGGAAGGACGTAACACATTACGAAACAAGCAGCTTCGGTAAACATCGTCATTTTCCGTGAACGGTTAAGGATGGAGGAAGAGGGACGCAGGCTTCTCGAAGAGGGAATAAGAAAGAAAGTGATAAGTCCCGGAAAAGGAGACCTGTCGACCTTCCCTAATGGAACCAAGGTAAAAAGTACACTCTCGGAGCAGGCATGGGTTGTGTTTTGGGTCCAGACGTTTGTAACAGACTCCGACGAAGCACGCTAGCAACCAAAATGCTACCAGGGATCATATCTTTGCCAAATATTCCGAAATATTTGCTTCTACGAACATTATACAAAACATGCCAGACCTATACTCATAACCTGTGGACTTTTCCGGGGAATAACGTGTTTAAAATAAATAACTGTTTAATAAATATATGTTAAAAGACTGATTATTTTTTCAACCGTATGTTTTTTTTTCTATCATGGTAAGCTAGTGGGAAGGACATACGTAATTCTGGACGCTGATTCGTTGGCACGCCATGTCAATTAGTTTCCCCACATTGTGATAGGTCAGAATACGATGACGTCAGGACCCTGTCTAGACCTGTCAGAGAGGAGCACATTTTTGTGTTGTTTGTGGCAAAAACCAAGCAGTCAGCTGCCCCTGATGTCTCAGAGGTTTTATTAACCAACCTGCCTGTTCGTGTTTGTTTCTGTGTCAGGTCGTCTTCCATTACCGCACCAGCCTCTGCGACGGCACAGTGCTGGATGACTCCAGAACCATGGGCGGCCGCAGCAAACCCATGGAGCTCATCATGGGCAAGAAGTTCAAACTGGCTGTGTGGGAAAGAATAGTAATCACCATGAGGCAAGGCGAGGTCGCAGAATTTACCTGCGACACCAAGGTAAGCGTTCTAGTCATGTTGGTGATGCTGCAGCGCTCTTCATAGCCTTAAACTTTTTCACATTCATTTGTGACAGACTGACACATAGTAGCACATAAATATGAAGCATTACCTAACATATGATTTGAGTTGTTTGCTCTGGATTTTATGTAACGGTGTCAGAGTAAAGGGGGTTGAATACAAATGCATGGCTCAATTTTTAGGTTTTATGTAAGGAAAAAAAAACTTCCAGTTCACAGCTGTTCACTGCTTTGTGTTGGTTTATCAGATAAATTTCTAATTAAATATATTGACATTTTTCAGTGCCGATTTGCTTATTTTTGTCTTGTCTGTTGGCAGCACACGGCGCTATACCCACTCGTGTCCCAGTCCTTGAGAAACATAAGTGTTGGTAAAGACCCTCTGGAGGGCCAGAGGCACTGCTGCGGCATCGCTCAAATCCACTCCCACCACTCCTTAGGGCACAAAGATCTGGATCATCTTCAGGCCAACCCACAGCCTCTTGTGTTTGCCATCGAGATGCTGGAGGTGAGGCAGCAGCAGACAGTATCTAGTCCTCACACCTTTTATTAGTTAGTATTGGATGCACACCATATGCATGTGTGTGCATATCTAGTTTCATTTCATTTAAAGAAGAAATAATTTTCCAGTGGATTCATGTTTTATTCTGACCTCAGGGCGTTTATTTAAAGCTGTTTACTTCTCCTTCTCTGCCTTTTTTGGCTAAAGTCTGTCTCCAAAACCCTCGTATTTTTTTTTCTCCATAAAATAAAAAAAATATGTATACTAATTTGGGGAATAATTTTGAAGTAATTTTTTTAGAATAAGGATTTGATGTGTATTGTCGAACCGATGTTTATTTGTTTGAAATTGTTTAAGGACTAAATTGAATAATAGCCCATCAGATTTAATATATAAACCACTTCAAAGCACAAACCAAAGTGCTTAATGCAAAATAGGGGAAAAAAAAAATAAAACATTAAACATGAGACGCTGTAAAATACTTACAGAAATATTAGTAAGAAAACTTGATATAAATGCAAGATAATAAAATAATCAAGTGGCCTCTGCTTGGCTTTTAATTGTAGATCAAAAGCCAAGCAGAGAGGGTGAATGTTAAAATGGCTGAGGTGTTTTGTGAGAAATGCCCTGGATGCAGCTGTAATAAAATCAAAGTGACATGTAGAAGAGATGAAGCTTCATGAGAATCCAGTCGTGCTCCTGACGACGTCTCTGTATCTGTCCCAGGTCCTGCCTCCCGGCTCCTTCCAGCTGGACATGTGGGCCATGACTGACAAAGAGAAGCTGGACTCTGTGCCTCTGATCCATGACGAGGGAAACTCTCTGTTTAAACAGGGCAAAATTAAGGAGGCTACAGAGAAATACTACAATGCCATTGCCTGCCTCAAAAACCTGCAGATGAAGGTTTGGGAACAGTTTTTACTTGGAACCTGCTGAGTTCACTGAAACTAGAGTAAGGTTTTTGACTCGTGTGAATTCTGAATCGATCTGCAGGAGCATCCGGGAGATGAAGCCTGGGTGCAGCTGGACCAAATGATCACACCGCTGCTGCTCAACTACTGTCAGTGCCTGCTGCTTCAGGGCCAGTACTACGAAGTCATCGAGCACTGCTCCTCCCTGATCTTTAAATATGAAGGTAAAGTTCTGACAAAGTTTAGACCATTTGCAAAATCACTTTTTTCCCCCCAAGATGAATAGTAGCTGATTCTGTATAAAAAAATCTTTTTTTTTCCTTCGATATGTTTTTATAGATGTGAAATTGCAATAGATGTTTAGTTTAAACAAACTATCTGGAGATTTCATATATGTCCTTGGGATTGCTGGTATAATTCATATTAACATTTTTACCAAAAAAAAAAAAAAAAGTTTTTTGGTAAAAAAAAATGTTTTTTATGAAATGAAAATATGTAGGAACCCTGGTCTCATTCAGTGTAAAAGTATGGTAATTTATTATTTTTAACCGTCAGATCAACATGTTGGATTTGTTTACTTAATATATTGATATCTACAGCTAATTGTCTCCATTAGTTCAGGTATGTTGTAGGTCTTAATATTAAATAAATTGGATCATATGTTCCAATAAGGCTTGTTTGTCAGAATTGGTTTAATTTAGTGGTTCTTCTTTGCCCGCCATTTTTAACCAGATGTTACTCTCAAGTGGCCTTCAATTAGTTGAAATTAGCAAAAGGTTTTAAGTAATTGGCTGCTGAGAACAAAACACTGACTTATGGCCTTGGCTTAAAGCTGTATCACCAGTGAACTATAACATTATGTCCAAGAATTTGCTCACTGAAATGGTCAAACACGTCACACCAGAGAATAAATAAAAGATTTGTTTTGACTGAAAAGCTCAGGTAGGTTTGACAGCTCGCCTCACGTTCACTTACATTTTTAACGCCCCTCCTCCCAGATAACGTGAAGGCCTACTACAAGCGGGGAAAGGCTCACGCTGCAGTGTGGAACGAGAAGGAGGCTCGGGCAGACTTTGCTAAAGTCTTGGAATTGGACCCATCTCTGGAAGCGTCGGTCAACAAGGAGCTGAAGGCCATGGAGGAGAAACTGCGCTCCAAGCAGGCGGAGGAGAAGGGTCGCTACAAAGGCCTGTTTGACTTCAAAGCGATTCCAGCTACAGCCACTACAGTCAGTCCCGATCTGAGTTTGGCTTCTGCATTCGCTTTTCATCAACTAGCATGAACCTGAAGAACTCCTTTCTTTCTTTCTGCAGGGCTGAACCCTGAAACTGACCGAGAAGAGGATGCCAATGGATTTTGAGATGGAGAAGCAGGAGAGCAGTCCTGCTGTTTTAGTTTTGTCCATGCACTTCAGCCAAACATGTCGCCAATTTGCTCCTCTTCAGGTTCACACACACACACACACACACACACAGGCGCCGCAAGCATTCTTTAGCCGTACTCCTCTGAATACAAGCTGTGTAAATGTGAAGCCGTGGCTCTGTTTGGAGTGTCTGTAATGGCCTGCGGAGTGGCTAATTCAGTGCTGCATATTTTTCATTTTAAGGGAACACCTTATTTATTTATTAAAAAGCCATTAACTGATTCAGAAATGTTTTGGTTAAGGATTTGCTCCTGGTGATGAGCATTCAGATTGTAAACCTTAACTTTTTTCCTCCCCCGTTTCTCCAGAAACTAATATATTTTTTTATAGAATAAAACATCTTTCCCCAGCATTTTCACCAAGCATGTCAGGTATAGGCCCTTTTATTTCATTATTTCTCAGTATCTCCAATCTTTGTAATCATTGCTCACAATTAGTAAATTGTAACTTCATACAGATGCTCCTTTTCAGTTTTGCTTACATGCACACACCTTAAAGTCTGCTAACTACTCAAGCACTAAGTTCTTGTAGAAGAGACTGGACCTTAAGCCTCACTGGTCTGCGACCATCACTAAATTGAAATTATCTCCTATATACTTATTTCATGTATTGAATTAAAATATTTACGTTTAGTTGTTCTCTTGATGTATTCAGCAGACACTCAGCATCTTTGTCAGCTGCTTTGGAGAAGATGTGCTTTTCTGAACTGTTAGCAAGGTGGTGATAATATAACTGTAAATAAATTTGCATTTAATCTCCAGTCTTGGATTTGTTTTTGTCTTTTTAAATATTACTTAATCAGACTGCTTCTCTTAAAACTGGGAATGGGATGGGATTAAAGTCCACAAAGGTTTTAGAAAAGTTTCTGGTTCAAAACCAGACAAATGGTCCCTTCAATTAGATGCCAGGAAACATACAAAACAAAATAAATACTTTTTCCTCTTATTTAATTAAGATATACATACTGAATTGCAAAAATCTGGTTTACAAAATTTCCTTGCTAACAAAATGACTCGATGTAAAAGGTTTGTGGGAATGAGGGAATTCTAATGTGAGCTTGCTTGATGGTGAAGAATTTTCAAATTAAAAGACCGGAGCAGTTTTAACATTGATTGTACCATTAAAAAAGCCAACTTTCCAAGTCGACTTACATTATTAAACAAATGCATTTTACCAGAGGTTTACCAAAATGACAAGCGTAAATTTCACATTCTTACAGTAGGTACAAAATTGGTTTTGCATATGCCCCACATGTTGTAGAAAGTGTAACAGTAACATAATTTAATGAAATGTATCAAATATTGGAAAGGGGAACATGATGCTCCTAGAAATGCTCACAAATAAAGCTCAGGGTGGGAGGATGAGCTCTGGTTGTAAAACATCCAACCAGGATCATGATGAGGAGAACGGGTCAGGAGGGGATTCTTTTCCAAAAGGGTTATGTGCGGGCGCTTCTCTCGGTTTCTGCGAGACACTCTCTGACCAGTGCGCGGGCGTGGATTATACCTGAATGAGACAAAACACATGGAGCATCCAATTAAACGAGAGGAATACAACAAGGATAAGGACTATTGTGTTTGATGCAAGATTTCCATAAAGCAAGGAACCTAAAATGTATCCCCCGCCCAATGTCCCACAATTCCTATAATTAAGAATCCTACAGAGTTCCTTCTGCTTTGAGGAAGTATTCTTGTGGTTGCAAGTTTAAATCATTTTGCAAAGGAAAAAAAGAGCAAAAAAGTCAAGCTCCCGGATATGCAGGGCAGGAAATTTACAGAATTGACTCTTGAGCCCCGAATAGAAAGGGCAATGCGCCCAAAATGATGGCAAGGCATTCTGGTGTCAGATCTCCTTTCATACTGCAGATTGAAAACAGTCAAACTGCAGCTGCAGGCATTGATCAACTCTTCATGACACCCATCCACATTGACAGAGCTGACAGCATCAAATACCTCTCTTTAGCCTCTCCATTGCGCTCTTGCTGCCAGCGTATGTAGGCCTGATCTCACGGCTCATCTCCTCGATGACAGACAGAAGCTCGCTGTAGGTGGAGCCCTGGGACACTTTGACAGGCTGGTTGAGGAAAAGGAAGAGGGGGAAAAGGAAAACCCATCAATATTTGTCGCTGATGTGAAATCATACCACCAAACTGCAATAGTGAAGCAACTAAAGTGGCCCTGTGAGGCTCTTCAACAAGACGGGTAGTAATTTATAGTCATGTTTTGTTTTGACCAGAAGATGACTGCGATTAAGAGTTGATTCAGAATTTAGTTTGCAAATAAAAACAAAAGCTAACTGTAATCATAGGTCACATTAGTAATCATGGGGAAGTTTTACCTGTTGCATAGATTTAGCCCAATGCATCACATATGCAAAGTGAGTAAAAAGTCAAAACAGAAAAGAGGAAGAGTTTTTTTTTTGTTGTTTTTTTGAGTGGAGATGAAGACGTACCTGAACAAAGCCCATAGAGGGGGGACCGAAGTCACTGAAAGCTGGTCTAAAGTTGGATGACGATGGGAGTGATGGAGAGGGAACTGAAGACCCTGTGTGGAGGAGAGTGACACAAACTATTTATCTCAAGCTTTCCCATCACCTACGAGAAGGAGCATCTTTCTCCAACCCTAATAAGATTACCTTTAATTATGAAAACATAACGACAGCCAATTGAAATCACATTCAAGCCGTCTTTTACCTGGTGGTGTGTGGTTGGAGCCAGACGGAGCGGGAGCGATAGGTTTATAACTCATGGCGATTTCAGCAGGCAGCTCCAGGTATGATGTGCTGCTTCCTTCAGTCCCGTCAACCCAATGCTTATACAGCTTTCCTGGTGGTGATGAGCTCCTAGGAGCTACTGGAAAACAATTACATAGTGGGAATAAACTTTACAATCCAGCTTTTTTTTTTTTCAGCAAATTTTCAGGTTTCACAGATCAAAATCGTAGATTTAACTTTTAAACATTCTAATAACTCACAGATGCTGCAATTTTAACATTAACACTTAGTCGTGCAGCTCACAAACTAAATGATTCACAGCTGAGCGCAGTGTGACTCTGACTTAAGAAAAATTTAATTTGTTTCTTGCTGTTAAGATAAGCTGCTGATTATTGGATTATTGGAATTTCAATCTGTTATCACAGTGATTATTAGCTGAAATTAATTTAAATTGTGGCCGTAGTGTTCCAGTGGAATATCCTTTAAAATGTGTGTTTTTTTTAAAGCTCCTTAGTGCTTCTGCAAATGGCAAATAACTATAAGAAAAAGAGTATGATTATATCTGATAAAAGCAACCACAGCTCATTGCTCCCACTGCTTTATGATTTTTTTCATCTCAACTCCACATGCATGTTCACACAATCAGCCAATATCAGTAGCCGATACAAATATAAATATTGCTGCTATGGACATTTCACTGACCTTTTGATATCTTGGAGAAAACAACCACACCTTTGACTTCACCACTGCTTCTCTGTTTCCGTTAAACTCCCCACAATCCTACAATCCTATCACTATAACTGTCAGATGACCAAATAAAATACCACATGACCAACCCATTCCAATCCAGAAACATACAGCAACAGGATGGAAATAAATAGTGTTGTTAATTTTGCTCTAGTTTTATTACCGAAATGTAAAAACAAAACAAACAAACAAAACAAAAAATACCTAATATCAGTTGATATCAATGTTGGTACCAAGATACCACACATCACTAAGTAGTATAGATATTCATGAAATTTTAATGCCTATATAGGTATAGAAGTTGATCAAGCATCATCAGGAAACATTACAGGCTCAGCAGTAAACTGTTCATAATGCATCTTCTGATTTGTTCAAACTCAAAGAGCATTTTCAGTGTCTCATGCAGAGGATTGCCTGCTGTGTAATGCGGTTATGAAACGACAGAGAACATTCTGAATCTATTTCACCGTTACGCTGTGTGAAAGTAGTTAGGGAAATGGCAAATTTTGTTTAAAAAAACAAAACACAGGGACTGTTGGGGTTTGGATAATTTTGTCTGCCCTCACAACAACGTTGAAATCTGTAGGGCTATGAAGATGGGGCTATTATTATGAAAAGCACTTTCTAGAAAGTGTATGGAAGGTTGTGTTAGGCTAAAGAAAAAACAATGGACGTAAATAATAATTAGTATCAGCATTTTAATTTTTAACAAAAATACTGACATTATAAATACCATTCACTCCCACCTAAAACTGCTTTTACCGTCTCTATATCTTTATCCCAGATCTGTTTGGTTTGTGTCTAGGCCTTCATGACCTTTATTCACAAGTTATCTAAGAACTCTGCTGGGAGCTTCACAGATTGACTAAATCCATTATAATAAATTAGACAAAGCTCGACTTTATTTACTAGTTCTATGACTTCAGGGGTTGACGTGAATTTTATTTAGAGGTATTAGAGTAAAGGGATCTGGATATACATGGATATATTTCACACTCTGCCACTTTCAAATTATTAAGGGTTTTGAAAACCATGAGTGGCTTTCACAAATATGTGATACTTTGCCTTGGTCTGTAAGATAAAAAGAGGTTTCTGTTAGTAAGGTGATAAATTGTAATAATGTGTAAGGGAAATACTTTTTTTTTTTTTTTTTTTTTTACATATCAATGTATTAAAACGCTTCTAAAATGAGAGATAATCGATCCTTAATCGTTACAAATTCCATAACTTTAAAGTTATTGAAAAGCATTTAAAAACAAATAGAATTATTTTACTTTAAAAAGATGAAAAGAAATAAAAACACGTCTGTCTTTTGTAACTTTAAACTCTTTTGATCTGTTAACACTTTACTCAGCCTTTATACGTCACTATAAAAAAACAATTACAGCCATGAATGTACTAAGAATGTGTGACAAGTTTAAGTTGTTCAGTCTTTTTACTCCCTTTAAATGTGGCTGTTTGTATGTCATATCTTGGATTTCACGCAGTCTTTCTCAGTTCTGAATGTGACAGCTCTCGGGTGACCAGTACCCGCGAAGGAATATTACTGAATGAAACAAAAGCTGACGTTAGCTTTAAGACGAAGGTAACGTTAGCAGGATTAGCATTAACCGGTTAGCAAAACAACACAGGGGAAACAAAGGAGAAATAAGGGCTCTAAGTACAAAGTATCGCCTTACACAATAGGCACGTTTATAAAAATTAGGTATCCACACTTGTAAACTCCAAAACGGGCTAAAAAAGATTCAAAACAAAGCTATTATTTTACCTTTTTATGAAGAGCTGAAATATTTAGTTGGATGTGGACCTCTTCCGCTGTGTGTGAGCATGCGCACAGGCAAAGTATAGTGTAGTTTTTTTTTTTTACTGTTTAGAGCGATTTGATTGGTTGCTAGCGACACATATTACGTTTGTTGGTAACGGCGTCAGTTTAAGACGTAAAACCAAAACCAAATATTTCAAGTAGTTTGAAGGCAGCCATAACTATTTTGTTAATAGTGAAACAATAATAAAATAAAAACTGAATCTAAAGACTGTTTCCCTTTCTCCAAATTTGATTGCCTGCCACTTTGCTGCTGTTACACAGCAATTTTCAACATTGTGCGACATAAAAAAAAACATATTTAATACACTAACGTTACTACGATTGTTGCTGTACCAACAACAACAAATATAACAAGAAGAAGAAGAATACTGCTTATATCTTATCCTTACTGTCAAAGAGGGGCTTGTTCCCATCTTCAGCAATTTGGGAAATAGATCTGATACACCCTGGATAGGTAACAAACAAGAAACATCCATGCACTCATTCACTATACTCAAGGGTAATTTAGATACGGGAACCAACTATCGTGTTTTTGGAGTGTGGCAGGAAGCCGTAGTACACCTGGACCCTATTAAAAAAGAAGAAAGGCTGTAAATGACTTAATGGATGAGCACTGTTGTGATGATGTGCTGAAGGCGAAGTGTCAGAAAGAGCAGGAGCTTCATAAAAGCACAGAAGCCAATTTCGAGGCATCGAATTGCACATTTCGTTTGTGTTTGATATAGCATTTTAATAGCAACTGAAGGTAGCTCATGGGAGGATTGTGGCAAAGGTGTTAGAAGTTTGTCCTGTAATCAGAGGGTTGTCAGTTCACATCCCTGCTCTGTCTGTCTTAGTGGTACAAGTAGGTTGCCATCATCAGCATGTGAATTACTGAATGCAGAGTGAAGTGCTTTTGGGGTCCTCTGGACTTAATAAAGCGCTATACAAGTACCACTGCCATTTGCTTGTGAGTGCACTTTTCATAAAAAGCAGTTCTGCACATACTTTCTTATATTAATTCTAATAATATTCATTAATTAGTCCTACCTATCCTCTTCAGCCTTGTGGACTCATGGCTGGTGGTTGGTACTGTATACTTCTTCTGACCTATAGCAACTTAGTTATGTGGCATCATCTCATATAAAAATGTTAATTATGCAACATTATATGCCAAATTGCCACACACACATTGGTTTGATTGAACAGTAATTTGCAAAACCTTAACCGTCTTATCATCATTATTTGACGTCACTCACCGTGAGCTAGTTTTTGTGAAGAAGTTGTATTTTTTTTTTTATATTAGCTATGTTTCCATGGTTTTCCTCTTTTTAATTTCATCCTTCTCCGAGCTAGCCTCGCTCTTTCTGCTTTCTCTCTTTTAAACATTGCTGACCGCATCTCCGGAAAGAGAATGTCGGCTGTTGCGGTCCAAACATTAGACTGGCCCACCAGTTATTGTCCAGGTTTTCCCAAATAACCCGTCTGAGAGTGTACAGTGTACAGCCTCAGACAAATTGTAAGTTTTTGTTTGTTGAATTAGTAGCGGCGTCGCTTTAGGAAAGGAAAACAACTGAAATCATAGAATAAACTCCATTTCTAAAGGTTATCAGTCACTATGTCTTAGAAGCCAAAGATATGTTAATAATTAAATATTACCTTAAGACAAAATTACAGTACTTAAAAGCAATTCTCAAACACAAATCTGTGTTGTTTCTTAATTTGGGTACTTATGATGGATCTCAGGTCAGCTTTCATCTGCATGCCTCTATAACTTCTGCATGCCTCTATAACTTCCAGAGTGCATTTTGTCTCGTAATGCTATATACCAACCAAAAAGTGCCAAAGTGCAGCAAAGACTGACCTTCATAGAGAAGCAGGCAGAGATTTATGCACATTTAAAACACTGAAAGCTTCTGTTACCTAAGTGCGATTAACCATTAGACCTGCTGAGAACACTGAGCTGTGAAGGCTTTGAATAAAATATAGCAATTAAATTCACAGGCTGCTTTCAAAATAAATAGCATGAGTCATATTTTATCTTAAAATGATGGATTAAATTCAATGCAGTTATTGATGTGAATTTAGTTTGTGTTGAATTAGTGAAAGTAGTTAATTGTTTAGACATTTTTAAATAAAATTTAAATTTGAAGAATATATTTCACTGAATCATAATATCTGATTTCTAAGTAATATTCATTTCATAGTTAAGTGTGTTGCTGTCTCTACTATTTTAATACTGAAGCTCTTTCAATTTAAAATTTCTATACTCTATAGATTATATTTTCTCAAACCTGATCCTCAGGGTCCACTGTCATGTTTTCAGTGTGAATAAATGTGCAGCTGAGTAGGATCATTTTCATAGATTTTCTATATTTCTTTCTAGTCAAGGATTTTAATTAAATGTGCCTGAATATCTATGCAATTAATCCAATGAACTGAGATCCATCAAAGTTTCAAAGCCATGACATACTTTCACCTTTTTCAAGTTGTTTAAACAAGGCCACAAATCTTTCAAACTTTGACGCTTGAAGACTAATAAAAATGTATCTAAAATGTCCAAATATTCTAGCATTTACTAAATAAAAATGTTAGTAATATTAACTGACCTACAACAGCAGCATTTTAGCCTGATATAATTACAGAAAGTGAGGAAAACAAGGTCATGTGCCATAATAGACACTGTATATAAATATCTATTTTCTACTCTATTTACGCTATGTGAACAATTTTGAGTACGTATGTTGGGGAATTGCCTTCTGATACTCTCCTACTTCAGTTTCTTACCCAGTTATGAATGGCATATTAATAGCCAACATTTTGAGTTCAACAACAATTAAAGATAAATATGCGCCAAGTCACTGAAGCTTTTTCAGTTGTTGTCTTAAATGTTCAGTCATAAAAATACTTGATGAATATTCATATAAAACCTGTCCACCAGGGAGTGTGTAGGGCTGCCGTTCATAACGATGATAACAATGACAGTCAACCAAATCCAAATTGAACAAATAACCTGTCTGATTTTGTGTCCTGCAAAAGCATTTGACTGACTTTGATCCTTTTATTTTTATCACGTTCCTTATAGCTGGATGACAGGTTAAATAAAAAAATTGTGGTTTTATGGAGACGCACTGCAAAAAGAAAGATGAAAAATTCTTTTCTACTTTCATCTTTCATGATTCTCAACCACTGGGAATTAAAATGCCATATCGATCTCTCCTTTCCCTCTGTGTATTTCATCCCTTTTTGCACAGGAAAAAAAAAAAAAAAAGCTTTAGCTGTAAAATCAGAAACTGACTCCTGATTCCCTCCCACTGAGGATGCTGTCTCTTAAAAACCTCAGTGTCTGACCAGGCTTTGCTTGTTATCGGTGCAGTCGCTGTAGCGGCCTTTAATAATGCCTGCCTTGAGGTTAGAACCGTCTCCCTTCAACAAAAACACAGTCTGACAGTTTAAATAAGTTTAGTGCTAGAAGAAGACTTCCCCCTTTAAATGAGTGTTCCTTGCTGTACCAACGCCACCCACCAATCAGCGGCGGTGCAGACATGCCTCAGTGTGTGGTGTCACACAGACGCGCACAACCTTGAGCACAGCAGTTCTGTTTGCACGCTCCATTATACTTGAATTTGTTTTGCAACCGTCCCCAGTCGGTGGCTCGGAGACGAGATGAATATAACTCCCTGCTCTGAAAAAGATGCAAACTCAATGAAACATTAAATAAGTAGTCTATTGGGCCTTGAGATTGTTTCCCCTCCTCTTCAAACCTCTGCAACATATTGTCCTGCTGGGCCTTTATCAGTGATTATAATTCATGCTTGAAAATGGGGCATCATTCAAGTGACAAGAACAACGATGCTTACAATATTTCTGCCCAGAGGAGTGTGTAAAAGACTCATTGCTATAGTTACTGCAAACACTGAAAACACTGACCAATGACTTGTTGCTGCCAATAATTGTATTTTTATTTTTATTTTTTCAAATTTGGACCGTTTACTCCAATCTAAATTTAAAAACTACTGTGGGGCTTTTCTCAGGTTGTCTTTGTCTGTTTTTGAAATGTATTGAAACATGTAAAACACTGAAGCTTTACCAAAGAATAAACAAAAAAACAAATAAGGAGGCTAACGCTTCTTCAAATGAATAAGTATATTTTGTAACTGGGGCTGCACAGTGGCGCAGTAGGTAGCACTGGTGCCTTGCAGTAAGAAGGTTCGGGGTTTGATTCCTGGCCTGGAGTCTTGCACAGGGAGAACAGCATGAAGTTTGCAAGTATAATGTTTCTGAATTCATAACTATTATCTCTGTTTCCAATCTGTGGCTTCCATGCATTCTCTTCATAAAACTCCATTTTCTTCTCATACATATCGAGTTTTAGGCGTTTTTTTTTTTGTTTTGTTTTTTTTTCTTTTCATTGCTCTATGTTTGGACCCAACTTTGAACTGAAATCACAGGGAGGGCAATCAGTGCACAGCAAGTGGATTTCCAGGGATTTACTGACATATTGGCTTTTTTGTGCTTCAACTTTAAGGCTGCTGTTTGACTCAAACTTTTGGTGCAGTCAATTTAAAACTAATCTTCAGATCAGTATGATTCAGACATGGCAGGAAATATCAGTGTACTCTGAAGCCGAACAAAATGAGCAAGAGGACACACACACAGAGTGGATACCGGATAAAGCCTAATTTCTAATCATTGCAGTTATTTACCGGTGCATCTTATGTAAGAGACGAAAGTGTAATAATTGCAGCTATAATGTCTGTAATTTCTAAGATTATGTCAAAAGGATTTGTTAATGTCACTAGAAAGACGTTACCAACCTTAATCACATGCAGGATTACTGTATATCTTGTAATAATATAAAATTGTGAAAATCGCTAAAAACAAACTAATTGGAATATCCAAGCATATTGGTTCCAAGTAATGATGCTAATAACTTTTTTTCCCCCTTTTATTTTTTCTCAAGGCATTAACAAAGCTATCAAATGTTTGCAATGATTTCTTAAAAAGTACCCTTTGGCAATGTTTTAAAATCACACCAGTACAAAGGCTAAGCT